AATATTTTTTGGAGGACTGTTGCTACGGGTTCATTTGGCTTGTTCTTGTTCTTGTTCAGGACATCATTGATATTAAAAGTGATGATGCCCTGAGCGTAACCATTTTGCAGCAAAAGCCTTTGGAGATCCTCGACAGCGGATTGTAACAATGAAGCGGTGGAGCAAATACGGAAGCATCGATAGGTTAGCGTGCAGATAAGGTTGATTTTGTATTTGCGTGGTGTAAATGAATCCCATTTGGTATAGAGTCTAGTTAATGTCTTCTTCCGGTAAACAGTAGCTTTCCAAAAATTTTAACGGTTATGCTTTTGAAAATGTATGTTGACTAGCATACGAAACGTCAAGTTCATAAAATTCATGTTTTTAAAATGTTATCACCGCTGTTTGTTTTATATTTTTAATCAAGCTACGATGGCCGAAGACCGAGAATTTATTAGAGATCATAAAGATGAAAGTGATGTATCTTTTGCCCCAATCTTTAAAGCAGATCCTACTTCTTGATTATGAACTCTTCTGAACTCGTCTTTTTCCGCCCGGATATTTTCCTACCCTGAATTTATTTATTTATTTTTTCAGTTTTACTCCGATATTTCTTTTTGGCCGTTCATTTGATTAGCTAGGATATGAAAATACGTTTATGTAGAAGCATTATTTAAGAAAGTGAAACTCCTCAATCATTATAAAACATCGTAAGTGACCAAATGAAATGATGGGACAACCGATGGGAGGGGGGAGGGAAAGTTGCGCTTCTTTGAAACATAATATTTCAATTAAAAATGGACGAGTAATTAACCAGTATAAGACATAATTTTAATAAAATAAAACGCTAATATGGGGTTCATACAAGAATAGATTTTTGTCTAAGTAATGGTTTTCCTCTTTTGTAAACACCAACATATTAGGAACACGAAAACCTATAAACAAGGTTCAAACATTGCCACTCACGCATGGTTGAACGGCCGCTCTATTGACTTTTATGACGCCCATGTAATTGATAAAGGAAATTTTCGCGTGAGGAAGACCTTGGAATCCTGGCATACTGCAATTACAATTGAATCTGAGAGTAAAATAAAAATTACTTAGACAATATTCTATTCTTTTATGAACCCATATTAGCATTTATTTTTATTTCCTCGCAGTTATCTTTTTGTTCGTATTGCAATTTTTTCTACATCACACTTTTTACCGTATATATTTCAACGATCGCGACTTATATTCACTATTTGTCTAAGATTGCAGATTGGCAATCGAAAGCTCGTAATTTTAAACTATTTTAACCAGAGAACGTCTTTAAATTTTAATAATATTTCAAATCAACAATATATGATATCGACATCAATTTTTTTCCCGTCAACCACGAGCATCAGTCAGATCAGCAAATGTTAAACACACCAAGTAGTAAATGCATAAATATTATATATATCAACTCTAACTAAGCTATATAGGGCTTGTTAAATTATATTTCCTCATTATTAAACATACGACTTTATAATTAAAGTTGATTTGCCCAGCGGTGGCATCATGCATGCATGCTAAATAAGAATTGTCTTCAAACATGCGAAACTTAGTAATTGTTGAAATTTTGGGTTCTTTGTGTGTAATATTCAAGAGGAGATTGCTTTGGGGTCTCATATAGACCTCATCATACATTCTTTGTAAATTTTAAGTTTTTCAACCCACCTCGCACAAAAAGTATTCACTTCATTGGGTTCAAATTTCTCGGAACAGTTACTTGAACGGTACTTCTATTCAGAACAGATATTTCTGTAGCTTAGAAACTGACTCGCTCAAGCTATTGCATAAAGAAGTTTAAAGAGGCAATATAGAAATATCGACCTCGTTACCAGGGTCCTCTCTCTTTGTATACATTTATAGCAGAGGCTATGACGTCACTTTCCTTACGTGAGTCATGACGTATCCATTTGTGACTGAGCCCGCAATGTGACGGGAGTTCTATTTTGGAAATTGACGGAAAGCTGAAAACTTTGCTTTCCTCGATCGTTTCTTTGTGCATCTAGGTAAATTATTGTTCCAAATCTGTTGTATTTAAGAGCATTTATCATGGAATTTTTGTTTGGGAAGAAGAAGACTCCAGAGGAGATGCTTAAACAGAACCAGCGAGCGCTGAATAGGGCGATGAGGTTAGTAACATTTTCTTGAAATCTTCAAGCAAGTTTACACTGTTGGTTTTAGCTGATTAATATTGGCGTTCTTTGTAGTGTATGCTAAGGACTGTGCCATATTTTCACGTTAGATACATTGGCAAATGAGTTTTTTTTTTAATAACACGATGGAATCTCAAATTGAAAACCTTGGAACCATTATTGCAATGAGGACCTACCTACGAAGCCAGAGCCGATCTTACGAGTAACTAGTTTTTATTTTGTTGGTCATACTGTAATCTTCCTTGGATTCCCCGTTCACATACTGAACGTACATAATTGCATTAGGAACGAGAGTAAGTGTATGTACTAATAAACATGCACTTAAATCACTTTTTTTATTTCTTTTGGGTGCGATCGAGTTTGCATGGACGTTAGTGAAATAGAATTATGAAAGCTGTACGCTTTCCAAATTTTGGATATGTAACATTACTGTTTTCTACTTGAAACTCTTTCTCCCATGGTCACTATAAAAATTTTAAGTGATTACAATATTTTGCAAGGTTTTATAGCATCTTGCATTAACAGAGGTGCAGGCGTAAGTACTATATTTGCTGACTACACAATCATTAACATACCTTGTGCTACCACAAATCTTTTTATCTTTAATCTGGACCAACCACTGCCACCTTGGATCTTTAATAATAAGGGATATAGTGAATAACAACCCAAGCAGGCCTGTTAACAAACGCAGACCTGTGGCTTTTCTGGTCTTCGGGTCTTTGGATCTTATTCTAGTTGGCATCAGCTGGAACTAAGTTGTTGACTGACAGGCAGATTAATATTAGATTGATGGAGGTTGATATATGTACCTTTTGTGATGCTTGGAAGGAAAGCAAGTTTTTGCTGGGAATCTTAAAGAAATTAGTAGGAATTAGGAGACTCGACCTCCTCCAGGACATTGTAGTAATATACATTCAATTATTGCAATTTTTGCAACAACTATCTGGAACATAGAACGTGATTTTCCAAAATATGAGAGAATGTTCCAAAAGTTCAGAATGACCTTTTTAAATACATGTTATTTCACGTTCAAACAATATTTTTTTCATTATGGCAAACAATCATTCCATCTCAGTTAATGTGGAAGAAATCTAAATTCAGATGATGGTCCTTTTTCAGAGATCTTGATAGAGAACGTGCCAAGATGGAACAACAAGAGAAAAAAGTTATAGCTGATATCAAGAAAATGGCAAAAGCTGGACAGATGGTATGATGACAATTTCTTAAAAATTGCACCAGAGAGTTTAATGTATCGGAGTCTTCAGTAGTCCAAGTCTGGATTATTGTGTTATTTTCTAGGACAAGACAATCTGACAGTGCTTCTTTTTAACCAGTGGCATAAATATGGTTGTTACTGGCAAACTGTATGCAGACCTAACAAAGTGGTTAGGGATAGCGTTGGATAGACTGGTAAATGTATTTCAGCCAAGGAGGTGGGATACTCCTATTTGCCTACTAGGACTGGCAGCTATCATTTTGTTCAGGATCACATCCTGTGTTTATTAACTCTTCCCTCTGTACTCTCCTCCCCCCTGGGGGGGGGGGGTACTCTGTAATCTTTGGGTGGGGGTGTGCCACTGGGACACTAAAACTCTTACTCTTTACTAGACCATGATCAGCTGGACTTTGCAACTCCATCTAGACTAGCCACCTAAACCCCGCTATCCCGGGCAAGCCATTCTCTTTGCAAAACTTTATCACTATCATAATCCAACATATGCTAACCAAACCAGCATCTCTCTCCTTACATGCAGTAACATTGAAGATTTTAGATTTTACACTTTTGCATAGCATCTTCCTGTACGAGCAAAAGGCTACGTTCTTCTCCAGTAACCAGTTAATAAGTTAGTAAGAGTCGATGAGATCACTGAATAAATGTATTTTGTCCAGGATGCTGTAAAGATAATGGCCAAAGACCTTGTAAGAACCAGACGATACGTTAAAAAGTTTATTATGATGCGTGCAAATATTCAAGCTGTATCACTTAAAGTCCAGGTAAGTCATCATTGTACTTGTGGAACAAACTTGTGGAAAGAGCAGCAAATATTAAGTTTTTTGGGATAAATGGAGTTTGTGATTTTGCTGATTTGATACTGGGTCATAATATGTATTTTTAAGACTGCCCAGCCATGTCCACAGCTATTGAGATATATGAGTTATCGGCTGGATATTGGCCTCATTCTTGTTGCATACATGTATTTATGGACCAAGATGGAGTCGAGGTCCATAAACTCGCAGAAAAAGAACAAATACAATACCCAGCCATTTTGACCGAGCAAGCTTGGTCAATAAGGGATTTATTATATCTGGTATCATGCTATAGGTGATTTTTTGTTTCTTTGAAAAATATGAAAAATTCTTGAATGGGGGTATTACATGTATGCAATGTTGGTAAAAACGTCCATTTCTTTAGACAGTGTAATAATTATGTTATGTATAAGATGTGCTGAACATTTTGGTCGAGAGAAAAAAAGTTTTTTCTTAAGCATGTGATAAGAAAGATTTTCCAGGTAGTCACTCATTTGCAATGGCTCAGTCATGTATGATTTTGAATTGAAATTTCATATGTCCATGACATTATAACATTGTGCCTACAATGTAGGTTCTTAGCTAAAAGTATGCCTGTCAAAATTGATAACAATTTGCATGGAAATTAATATTACCATAATTTACAAATCTAGTCACTTGCAATAATTCTAAGTGATATTTACATTGTCTTGTAAAATCTTATTAATAATTTTTATTACAGTGCACAGGAAATTCAATTTTACTACAAAGGCAAATTTTAACACAAAAATGCATGTCAAGTTAAATATGAAATAATTCCTGTGCACTGTAAATAATAGGATTTTGCATGACAACTTTAATTTACATTTCTGGTAGATTTTCTTCAAAGAGCAATTGTCAAAGATGTTAGTATTTGTATGTTGTTCCTAACATGGAATTACAGTTCCAAGGTGGAATATATTTTCAAGTGTGTTTTGACTATCTTAAGATTACGGTATATTCATAGAAAAGGTGAGAACATTTTGAAATAACACTGTTAAATATATTTATCAGAAAAATGATCAGTACATGAGCAATTCTCTGGTTTACCAGTATCAGATCAAGACAAAAAATAATTAATAATTATGTATCTGAAAGTAGGCATGAAGACGTCCTGAAGATCTAGTTCAGATTATTTTCACTCCAGGCTGAAACATAATACTCTTCTCACCTTTTCACTGAACAGTGTCTAGTTAATTGTTGCTTGTAAAACACCAAAAATTGGCAATGACAGCTACCATATTTTATAAGCACTCATAGCATTTTATGCTTTAGGCAAGCAGTGAGTGCTCTGATTTCAGTGTGGCAAATAATTATTCTGTTGATAGCAGTCATTTACGACTGACTGCAAGACATATTATACTTTGTCTAGTAAGTTGATTAGAACTGGTCAGAGAAGGGCAAAAATCAATTGCTCCTGTATAAAAATTGCAATGACTTCTTATAACTCTAAAAATGAAAAAGTTTGATTGTAACTTTCAACTGCCTGCATACATTCTAGCTCAATAATTTTGTGCTAATAAAGGTGTTGAGCATTAAATCTTTAAGGCTCTGCATTTGGAGAGAAGCACTGTTTGAGCGGTCATAAATTAAAATAGGTTCAATTTTATAGAGCATAATATCAAGATGAGTCACTGTACCTTAAGTTTCGGCTTTAAAAACATCTCTCTTTCAAACTAACTCTTAAAATATGAATTTGAGAGTTGAATTTTCCTTTCAAATTTTGATTAATTAGTGTTAGTGAAAAAGAAAAACAGTTTGTTATCTATTCAGGTTGAAATAATAGGCAAAAATGTCAAAATAGCCATCAAGTAAACAGTGTTTTACCTGTAAGTTCAAATTAAAAAAATAATCACCCTAACCTATTACATTTCAATTCTCCTGTGGCAAAGTCACCTGCAGTACAGATTCCTTGGCATAATTTAGTTCTTGAACATTTTTAAAAGCTCGGCTCTTTAAGCTTTCATGGTAAAATTACTAGTGCATAAAAATTTACAGCACTTACAGTAGGAGTCAGTCATTTCTTTTTTCTTGAACTACTAACTAAAAGCTGTGATATTGTTTAGTCATTTACAACAGCAATACTTGCATATTAATTTTGTATCTACCACTTGCAGCAAAATATTGTTGAAAATTATTGTATGTTTATCAATTAAAAATGCATTTCTGATCACAGACATTGCGATCCAACAATGCCATGGCTCAAGCGATGAAAGGAGTTGCAAAGGTAGGACTTCATTTAAATTTCTGTAGCAAGCACACTCGGGGAATATAAACATTTTGTGTAAAACTACCAAACTACTTAATGTATTACAGTGGGACCCCATCTTACATGTATGGTCATTGGCCATTGGTGATTGTGTAAATGGGGTTCCACTGTAGTCAGTTTCCATGGAGGCAGCGTGGCTGAGTAGTTAGGATACCTGAGGTTCGGAGATCAATGGGTCAACTCCTCCTCTGAACACTCAGTTGAGTTTTTTCTCAGTAGACCCTAGTTTGACTCCTCAGATCTGCCTCCTGCCAGTTGTGATTTTTAATTAAGGCTAAAGATGTTTATTTTAAATATTGGTTTCTTTCAGTTTAAGTGGCATGCCTGTCAACTACACTGTAGCTAGATTTAGCTAAATGCATTGATCAAGATTTCAAGAAAACAAAGTCAGCACATTTTTAAACAGAACAATAAATTATCCCCAAGAGAAAGTAACAACTTTGAACCCTCTTTTATTATAGCTTAGTCATTGAAGGAATCTGCACATTTGTCATTTAATTGATGGAAAATATGAGTCAAAACATAACCTATTTTGAAAACAAATCCTTTGAATAAAAGTCTTGGTTACGAAAACTGGATGCAACTTTCGGTAATTTTGGCCCTTTAATAATAACCTTTATTTACCTTTGGTAGTGTTCATAGCACAAAGGCTAGTGGGGCCGAGCAAACAATTGAAACAACTAATTCAAATTGAACCCAGGCCGTATCAATGGGGTGGCAGGGCCGTATCAATGGGGTGTTCTTGTAAGAAAACGGCTGTTCACTGGGGACAAAAAAAAGTGGCCATAATAACAAGGTGACATTAAGGTGAGGTTCCACTGTAGTCTGTGTCAGCATGACAGGTGTAGCAAGTAGGAGAAAGAAGGGAATTCTGTGTGCAAGCGCTCATGCCAAAATTCCTTTTTCAAGCTATCCTGTCTTTACTGCATTGCCGACTTCTTGTGATCCTTCACTGAGAGTTGATGCACTGACAGATCAAGTGTTTGTTCCCATACATATACACTGTGACTTGTATTAACTTCAAGTTTATCTTGTGTTTCCATCCTTGTAGGCCATGTCGAACATGAACAAACAGTTGAAACTACCACAGATACAAAAGATCATGATGGAGTTTGAGAAACAGGTTTGGATAAATTTTTTGAATTAACAGTTGGCCAAAAGTGCTAGAAGGAGATGCTAACAGTTGAACTTTTTAACCAAAGCATGGCACATAGGACCACCATTATAATGATCACAACCCCAAATTGATATCTACTTGAATTTTTTGTAGTCTGAAATTATGGACATGAAGGAAGAAATGATGAATGATGCTATTGATGATGTCATTGGAGACGAGGAAGATGACGAAGAAAGGTTGGTCAAACTTGGAGATTTTTTTGGTGCCATTTTATTAGCTACACACTCACTCAGTCAAACCTGTTTAGGGAGGCGTGGTGGCCTCAGGATTAGTGCACTTGACTCCGGATTGAGCAGTTCGGGTTTGAGTCCTGGCCAGGGACATTGCATTGTGTTCTTGGGCAAGGCACTTTACTCTCACAGTGCCTCTCTCCACCCAGATGTATAAATGGGTACCGGCGAATTTAATGCTGCAGGTAACCCTGTGATGGACTAGCATCCCATCCAGGGGGGAGTAGAAATACTCCTAGTCGCTTCATGCCACAGAAACCGGGATAAGCACCCGCCTGATGGGCCGCTTGGCTCGTATGCAGACTTTGCCCTGTTTTACAGTCAAACCTGTATTGTTAACCCGTTTACTTTTTTTCTCTCTCTGTTTCTGCTCACAGTGAACAAGTTGTCCAACAAGTCTTTGATGAACTTGGACTTACTCTTACCGACGAGGTGAGCTCAGTTGGTGTTTCCAAATCTCAACTGGAACACCATGAACCAGGGTCTTAAAATATCTTGCATGTAATATCATGCGTGTCCTACACCTTCACTACTAGCCCTTTGGCTGAAAAATGGTCTTAACAGTTGGAGACTTACTATAGAAGGAAAAGTCTTTTTGAAATCATAAATAAATTAGTGCATATTTAGAGTGGCTTTACAATTGAGTGTCGTAAAAACTAAAACCAAATCAATTACTTACCAATTAGACTACTCAGTCAATTTCAAACCGTAGTCCTCCTAAAACCAAAACCATGATTACTTTTGACACTCAGTTGAAAACCGCCCCTTGCTCAGGCCCAAAAGTGACTGACAAGTCTTTACAAATTTATTGTTGACTTATTTTCTTTCTTTTTTTCAGCTTACAGGCCTTCCAACCACTTCAGGAGCCGTCGGCTCTAAAGAAGCTCCTAAGCAAGCTGTGGCTGCTGATGCCGATGCCGACCTTCAGGCCAGGTCAGTTAATATATCCCACTAACTTGTTGGTAAATTTTACAAAATTTTTTTTTTTTTTTTCAATCCAGTTTTCTCATTATGTTTTGTCCCAATTGTTCGTACATCGTTGTACTGTTTTTCTATCAAATATCGTGTAAGTGAATGCGAATAAAACCGTACATGAAATAATTGTGGCAACAAATGAAAATTAGTCTTATTCATGACAAGCAACGAGAGAAACATGCAACGAGGCCTGCGGCTACAATGCTCGGCTACAAGTGATGCAATAATCCAATCAGCCAATCAGGGGGCAAGGCAGAAAGCACGTGATTAGTGGCAATCGCAGCAACCTGTGCCAAGCGCGGGTAAGGTCGCTCGCTTCCGATTTTTATTTTGCCGCTGATTGGCTGAAAAGTCAACATGGTGCTGGTGATTGGTTGAGGTGAAACGAGCTTGCACAACTTTAACGTTTTCCTGTTGGTTTTCCAAATGTAAGTCAGGTTCCGTCCACACTACGTCGGAGAACTGTATTTTTACGATTATGCCTACCGTCCACACTAATCCGTCACGGAAACGGGGCTTTTCGAAAACGCTCTTCAAACCGGAGGAATTGAAAATACCGGCTTTACATTTAGTGTGGACAGAAAACATTTTGAAAACGGAGCTTTTCAAAAACGATGACGTCACGATAATCACGTGATTTCCCAGACCGAGTTTTCCTCCCACACAAATCCAAAATGACCGGTGATTGCTGCGTTTTCTAATTTCGCCGGTGCAGTGAAGACGGAAAACATTGATGCGTTTTCAAATTTCTCCAGTGTAGTGTGGACGGGTCATATATATATATAAGTGACAACAACCGCACGTGCTATCCTCGGCTCGTGGCTGCTGTGCAGTAACTTCGCTTTTGATTGGTCAATGACCAGTGATGAAGCCATCATAAAGATGTCCTAAACAGTGTTTAACAACCAGCAACGAAAATAGTTTATTTTGTCCTTACCGCGTGCACATTAGAATTTCAAACAATGTTCTTTTTTTCTTTTAGGTTGGAAAATCTTCGACGGGAATAACAGCTGAATAAATAGTCCTTAATTACTCAGCAACTCACTTTTAGTGATTTTATCGAAATCATTTGTTAACGAGAGTTTAATTTTGTATTACTAAGAAAGAAAACTTCATAGTTTACTTGTCTCTACTCACGGAAATTTTTCGATGAACTTGTAGCGAGAGCATGGTCCCGTGTAAGTACTAGAAGTGGAAAGAGAGCAAGAAAGCTTGAAATGCGAGGAGGTTACAAAACTAAAGGGGCTCTTAAAAGAAACACTTTGCGGCAAAAAAAAAGACGAGAACTTGATATTAGTGACTCATAAAAAGTCAGCAATCCTCACGAAGTTGTGAAAGTACTCCTTTGATCAGAAATTTAGTTTTACACTTAACTAGTAATACGATAAATTTTGAAGTTCACTAACGAAGACGTAGTTGTGATGGAGATTGGTCTCTGGGATGGTGTGTTGTTCTTTTAATCTAGTTCCTCTTCTGGTGTAACGAAACTCAAACTTTAGAACCACCTTGTACAGCATAATAAACAGTACCACATGAAAGTGTTGCTCAATAGCTTTCATTTTAATGGTCACACACTGAAGGTTTCATCCAGAGACTTAAAGGTTACAACCACCTTGTACAGCATAATAAACAGTACCACATGAAAGTACTGCTCAATAGCTTTTATATGAATGGTCACACACAAGGGTTTCATCCCCAGACTTAAAGGTTAGAACCACGTTGCACAGCATAATAAATAGTACCACATGAAAGTACTGCTCAATAGCTTTTATATGAATGGTCACACACTAGGGTTTCATCCACAGACTTAAAGGTTAGAACCACCTTGTACAGCATAATAAACAGTACCACAT